TTTCAAGCAAAGAATCAACCTTGAACATGAAGGAGTTTTCAAACCAACTCAGGTATCAAGTTGTATAAAGGCACAGGCCACAGAAAGGTCTAAAGATTTCAAAGACCATGATGTCTATTTTAAGCATTGTGAAGTTAATCATTAAAAAGTGCAAAACACCCAGACGCTGCCTCCATCAGTCTGTCCTTCCAAGCTCCAAGCAGAGAAGCTGGGCTAGGGAACTAGTTAAGCAGGATACTGGTTAAGGATACAACTGAGGCACTGGCATTGACTTTAAAAGAGTTACAGAGTTCAATAACGTGGCTGAGATCTCAGAACATCAAATCCCACTTGAGGTTTGCAACAAAGTACCTGTCTGATAACTGATTCTACAAACGTGGAAAAAAGCTTTGTAGTCAGACTGGACAAATTTGTGGTCTAAATGCAATGTGATGCAATCTAACATTGTGCATCACTCAGTCAACACCACTCCTACAGTCAAGCATGGCGATGGCAGCATTATGTTGAAGTCCTGCTTCTCATCAGCAGGGACAGGGTAGCTTGTCAAGAATGATGGGAACATACAAGGAGCAAAGTACATATACATCTGAGAGGAAAACCTGCTTCAGACCTTAAACTGGGTCCAAAAATTCACCTTTCAGCTGGATGGTGATCCAAAACACAAAGCTAATGTAACGGGAGCCGGTCCAGGCTCCCACAAAGCGTAGTTCAGGACCCTGTGCAGACGATACAATCCAGAAGTAGGTGGAGAAGGACACCAGGGGAAGGTACAGCAGGATAGACAGACAGCAGGGGGCGTGACGACGGTGATCCGGTGCTTGGGGGTTGTGGCAAGGGCAAACAGATCTAGACTGTCCAAAAAGGGGAATCCAGGGCATAGTCCAAAGTCCAAAACTGGGGATCCATCCAAGATGAGACAAACACAGTTAGAATCTGGAACAGGGACAGGGAATAAAACCAGGGTAATGAGGCCAGGCACTCTGAGCACAGACTCAGAGGGTCAGGACGCTGTGATGAAGCCTATGCCGTCGGGTCTCTCCTAGACCTGCTGGTAGGTGAGCTTCTGGGCGTCCATCTTCCAATGCTGAACCAGGCATAGCAGGAGAGCCTGCCTTAAATAAAGATGGACAAACAGGGGACAGGTGCACGGAATGAACTAAAATACGAAAGGGTCGGAGCACCCTTAAGAGGAGGGAGGAGGATCATGACAGACAAAGTTACAATAGAGTGGCTGAAGAATAAGAAAGTGAAAGTCCTTGAGTGGGCTAGTTGAAGTTCTGACTTGTTGAGGATATTTGGAAAGACTTGTATACTGCAGTTCATAAGCACCCCCCAAGTAAATTGAGGGGATCAAGCAAATCTGCTAAGAGGCAAACTATAAACCCAGCCAATATGAAACGCTGTTAAAAGTCTTGTCCAAAATGGCTCTGTGGCTTACTGTAATTGCTGTCAATGGCGTGTTCACCAACTAATTCACTGAAAACAATTTCAATCAACATATTTCAGTTTTTTCTCTTTAGTGTCTGTGAACATTTACTGTTCTGTAACCCATCTTAGCTTTAAAAGTGTTCAGACTGAGCTTTCAGTTTTAAAAAGCCATGCATGCATCATTTTCTAATTTCACAAAATGGGAAAGAATATGAAGAGCCAAACTACTTTTGCAAGGCACTGCATATGCAAATTTATAAATGCATGGTATTATGTTTCTTGTCTCAGTCACATAATCTGCCATAGAGAGATACTCTACATTGATACAGAATGCCTTCATAGAATAATTAGGTTAAAACATGCCTGTGAAAGGCAGATCAAATGGGCATTGATAGAGAATGAGGATTTATATAATATGACATTACCTCTACTTTAAAGCACACATTAAAATATATGTCAACTGTCATTAGGTATCTTAGGAACTGTTTTGACACATACCACGGTAACCAGACTTTATATTTCTCTGGTTAATTTTACAGCACTAAGAAATCCTCTTGGGTTTTATAAAATACTCACTGGATTCATCACTGACCAGGGATCAAGGAAAAGGTGCTTACCATCCTTCTGGCTAAATCCCTGGTGCTGTAAAAAATATATGCAACTCTTAAAACAGCACAGAGCCCCAAAGCAAGATTCCACACTCTCACGTCGATTGATATTACAGCTGTTGACATTGTTGAATGGGAAATTTGTTGCTTTCTACAACGTTTTTACCAACAAAGCAATGAAATTAAACAACTCTTGACTTTAAAAAGTATTCAAAACAAATGGCTGCATAAATAACTTGCCTCTGAAGGCTGTTTGACAAGAACTGGAAAATATAGAACTCTCTTGGAATAAAATTGTGTAAGTACAGCCATAAAGCCACTAAGGACTAGCAGCTCCATGCTATGTTAATCTCACATACACAGTAGGTTACTTTGAATTACTCAGTATAACAGAATCCTGTACCTGGTCCTTAGCATCTGGAATCCAGCAGGTTTCTTCTACCTCTTTAAACTGGTAACAGCTTAAGGCCGTGAGGACAGGATAAATTGATCCGTTAAACCTTAATTGGATTAATGAACAATTCTTCCAGGTGAAGAGACATTTAAAAGTTGATGACTCGTAGACAACCTGCCAGATTCCAGACTCCATGGACCAGGTCCAGAGTAAAAAAAAAATCCTGTCCTATACTGTGAGGCCTGGATTATCTGGTTCCTTATATGGACACTATTATGTGCTTTATAATATTGAGTGACATTCTGGAACCATGTGAATTGCATAACTGCAATTCCTTTTGTCAAGTGTTTTTGTCTGGAAAAAGGGGCATGAACAGGATTCCCAGGGAAGAGTACGCCAAAAGCTCCCTGTGAAGGTGAGTCCCTTTTTATCCACTTTAGCAGTAATATGCTACATTTTTTTTTCACAGCTCTAGTCTTCATTTGTAACTCCTGCCATAAGGTGACATATTTTTGGCTCGCTCCAGTTTTCTCTGGACAGATAATGTGGCAAATGGAAACATCTAGCAAGTGTTATTAAGGAGAGGAGAAAATCTGCCTAAACCCCTTGTTCTGTTCCATTAAACTTGCTTAGAGAAAAACCATTTAACACCTTAGCCCACTGCTGTACTGCTGTACTATTAAACCATTATTTTTCTCTCTTCTTAACCTTATCTACGGACTCGGCACTGGAAAGGATAAAGGGTCCGACACCAGCATTTAAGATTAAGTGTCTAGTTTTAATGGGATCCGTTTCATGTGTGGCCAGCTGTTCAGGGAGCATAGAACTGTGACCTCCTCCTCCTGCCCCCAATCCTTCGAAGGCAAAGCTTCCTGTTAAGATTTTCCATGACTCTTTGTGTCCAGTGTGATACCTATTTGATTTGGCAGTTCAGTGTATTTTCAAGCAGAAAATGCATGGAGTATTTTCCAAAGGCTCATAAAAAATGTGTTGGATTACAGATCGTCAGATTATGGATTTTTCTTCCAGTGCATTATTAATTCATGGGTTTCTACAGCCTACTGGAAACCTAGCTGGATCGATAAAATGACCTTGATGTAGGTTACTTCGCTTCAGGTTTTGACTAATTTGGGCTGCTTCGAACTTGGACAGTTTTTATGGGGTTAACGTATCCCAGGGGTCCTGACAGTGGAAACAGAGTGATCTCCAGGAGGCTAATCTGATTCCTGTTTACGATGATTGGAAGCTGAATTCTCCGTTATCCCTCTGAAACGAAGCAGAGTAAATAAAACCATTTAGAATTAGGTCCCTGTAAACCTACTGTGTCCTGTTACTTAAAAAGTGTTCTCCAAACTGAAATATTGCTTACCTGTACAGACACAGAGAAGTCCAATGGTATGGGAGCACTAGGTTGTTGGAAGCAGACCAAATGTCCACATTATGCACTGTCGTGCCCTTAGTCTTTTTGAAAGGCACAGGGCACTCTGAAGACTTTTCCCCAAGCATGACAGCCATAAGAAAGAGTTTTGCGCTTTGAAAAGGAAGTGCCAAGAGCATAGAAGGATATGGTAAGCTTTTAATACACGAGCCTGACATTTTAGGAATCGACACACACCTGCAATGTGCATTCCACACAGAGACATGAGAATAAGTACGTGAAAAGGAAAACCCTGTGCGTTCAAAAGTTATTATACAGACTACACTCAGATCTCAGAGCTGTCACACCATTAGGAGCCAGGGGTGTGCAGGTGTGGAGTTCAGTAAAAGTCAGAAATACTTGTGCACACCATGAATGTGACCACCAGGCTGTGCCAGGCACTAAGCAAAAACACCCCAAGCCACAGTATATGTTCCTTAGACTATTTTTTTAAAGTAGCTCCTTTAGAATTGTTTGTCATTTGATAGCAAAATAAAAAATGGACGTTCAGAAACCCATTCAAGTGTATAACCACTGTGGTTACAATTATCTTGTGCTCCAGCCCTTCAGTTAAGTAACTAGCCTGTTTTTTTTCCATAGACTGCCGTAAAAGTCAAACTCCACAGGTAGGATATATGTTCCAGGACATTAAACTCAGAGGTAATAGTAATTTTCTCTGCAATATTTACTTGAAATCATCTGAAAAAGACTCAATTCAAAGCTCTTCTATCTGGCGTCTTGTTGAGCATGTACCTGATATCTGTTCACAAAAAAAAACACAATTGCTGACAATTTTAATTGTCACATATACTGTATGGGGGAGCATTCTTTTTTTAATCAAGTAGAGTAATAACCAAGCATTTCTATTTGTATGCCTTCTGCTACCTGCAATCTATAATCTACTGTAGTGTTATATTTTTCAATTTTCTGAAATAATGTTATCCACAATAAAATATTTTGGGGATATCAACAAAATGTAAACAGTCTTCCAAGATCTAAATTTGTTAAGGGAACCAATGTGAAAATAGTGTCAACTGTTTCTAAAATATTATATCACTGGTAATTCTCATTATTTTGATGTTTCTTAAAAGAAGAAAAAAGATTAAGAAATACAATACATGCATGGAATAATGCAATCATAACAACAAAAGGCTGCTTTGTTGATGTATTTTATTGTGAGATGGGCAGTCAGATAAAAAAAAAAACAACAAAAAACTATAAAAATGACCATGGATTAAATTGGGACGTATAAAAGACATTGTAGCCTTGATTTAGACATACAAAGAAAAGAATTGGCACAGATAAAACATAAAAAGGTATGTCAATATAATTTTGGCTTCATAAAGGACAGTACAGCTTCATGGTTAGGATAATCCTTCAATACAACAGCAACATCTCATGCTATTAGTCACACAGTTAGTTTTCAAAATTCAGTAGCTTAATATTAAAGTGGGAAAAAGTAAAACCAACTTGATAATGGATGGAAAGATAACAGGTTCCAACCTTTTGCTGAAGGTGTATCTCTAAAGACAAACTGAAATGCTGACATTTTTTTTTAAAACAAACCTCAAGTGCCAGAACTTCACTTCTAACTTTGGAAATCTTAACAACCTTCCAAATTATTTTTCATACTAAAATATATTATTGTATTAATACAAACTACAGTATTATACACTACATTGTGTAATAAATAACCATAAAGAAATATAAAAATAAGACACATAAATATAAAAGTTTTCTAAAACTAAACTGGTACATATATCAGTGAGTAGGGTATTAATACTGCCATTGTTTGAAACATACAGTACACACTTTTTTGCATTAACATAAAAAACTTCTAAAGGATAAAACAAAACTTAAAATAATACTGACAGGTAAAACCATCTAACACTTAATATTTAGGGACCATATTCACTAGCATTTGTTAACTGAAATACAGGCTAGTTTGCCACAAACATTATTAAACAAGTGCATGGAACCTAAAAGGACAGACATTCCAGGGTAGGAAAAGTACACAACCAACCCCATGTATATACTTTGTTTTCACCCTATCTTCCAGCCAACCCGACTGCATGCAGCATTTGTAAAATGAAAACAATGCTTAATTAAAATTAATAACATTTCAAATGTCAGGATGCATATAAAACCTCTTGGGATTGGATACTTGATGCGACTGAGACAGCAAACAAAGTTTAGTTAATATGGGCCCAACAATAAAAGAAAGACTGGCTACAGCCACTTATTACAAAATAACACTGTTCAATGGCACTTACAGCACACAGGTCTTGCATAAGGCTGGGGGATTCAAATGCTTTGTTTCATAATTTGTCTTGCTTCTTCTGAATTTATAACACTGAATGCAAAATAAAAAAAAAAATAAATAAAAATTGCTGGCTTTAATACTTCTGATATTCTGTTCCCTGGTATAAGTTTTCTAACAGTATCAGATGCCACATTTTTTTTCCCCAGAGCATAAACTATTTTCTTTTCTTAAGGCTAACAATCCACTTCGACAAATGCTATACTAACATTGGCTAATGTTATCGAGAACTACTCTAGTGCGATAATACTGAAGGGTAGACAACACTGAAGCATGTTGTATCCTTAGGTAAACCAGGAATACTGTAGTGCAGAGTTCTTTTTTCCAACTTAACAAAATACTGGTTTAGCAAATTTCATTGGCAATAAAAAGGTATAGAAATCTCTCCCAACTGTACAACTTGAAAGGTTATAACATGAATGACGAAATTAGTAACACTGATAAAAGAAATGACCCATGATGTCTTAGTAATAAAACATTATCTAAAACTTGTTGATTCTAGCTTTCAAAGTCAGTATATGCATTTTTTTTCATTAAACTTTAAGTATTTTTACAAACAATTTCTAACACTGAAAATTTTTCATGTGGAAAAGGTACTAGTTTTTGAGTTCAGGCACACCTGGATTTATACACAGTAGTGAACTGAAACAGCATCCGAGCAACCGTGTTTTTTCGACAATAAATTTTCTATTGTACAGCAAACTGTGGTTTTGTTTGTTTGTTTGTTTTTTCCTTCATCGTTTCCTTCCGTTCTTCGTTAAAAAAAAAGAAAAAAAAGAATCCGGTACACTTCATTTTCCGTCTCCCTCGTCTTCAGGCGTTTCTCGCTCTTGTGTATCCCCGGGGGCCTCTTCTTCGGTTTCCATCAGGGTTGCTCCTGTCTGTGCCTCCTCCTCTTCCTCTTCTTCCTCCTCCTCCTCCTCCTCCTCCCCCCCCGTTTCCATTTCCTCCCCTGCTTCGGCATCCCCGCCTTCCCCTGCTCCTTCTTCTCCGACTTCTTCCTTCACGCTCCTCTCCGCGCCTGCCCCCGCCGCTGCCGCCGCCTCCGCCTCCTCCTCCTCCTCCTCGCTGTCCTCATCCTCCCGAGTGCTGCTCTCCCTGTCGTCCGAGTCCAGCTGGGAGGGCGGGGAGGTGGCTCTGCTGTCGGGCTGCGGCTCTGCCGGCAGGCCGTCTCCCCCGGGCCCGGCCTCCCCTTCCCCCTCGGCCTCCCCCTCGTCGGGCTCGGGCCCCTCGCGCTCCTCGGCCTCCCGCTTGCAGTAGGAGTAGCGGTGGTTCATGTGCTGCGAGTAGGAGCCCGAGTGGGAGAAGCGCTTGCCGCACTTGTCGCACTGGTAGGGCTTCTCGCCCGAGTGCAGGCGCATGTGCTCGATCAGGTGGTGCTTGTGTTTGAAGGCCTTGCTGCAGATGCCGCACTCGTGAGGCCTTTTGCCTGAAACGAGCAGGGGACAACATCAGAGCACCGGCGCGACTCGACCTCGGGTGAGCCGGAATCGGCCCCCAAGATCCGCTTTGCACATTAAAGGCCGTTTTCGGTTTAGAACCCAATAAATAACACACCAGTTATAACTGTTCCATTTGTTCTGTTAGATTTTTAACATCCTTAAAAAAAACTGAAAAGGTTACACAGGAAAGGCAGCTGCAGTGCTTTTGTGGTATTAGAATAAAGAAGTATGTTAATGGAAGCAGAAATCCAGGGAAACCTGTTTTAATTAATCAGCTATATCAGTATTAATATTTAAAGCATTATGACCATCAAGACCCTTTATAAAACACTGAAATTATCATTATTATGGGGATAAAGGTACTGGGTGTTATACTAGGCCTTGTACATAAGGGTTAAAATTTATAACTGTGGGTCTGCTTATAGGACACAATTGCTTCAGTGAGGACGTGGAAAGCTGATTTCCAAATCCATATTGGAACTACTGTAAAGAGCTGAAATCCAGCATTTAAACCACTAAACTCCAACCAATATACAAAGATTTAAATTTCCAACTGCTGTGCTAATGTGCATTGCTAACGCTGTATGTCTGCAATATAATTTGAATAATACTGTAAAGAAGACAGGTACAGATAGTACTATTGAGCAGCACAAGCTGCTGTAAAGCAGTTCATGTATTTTTATAAAAGCAGTGAGCTTTGACTTTGTCACTTCAGAAAAATGCAATAGCTGCCAAGGTGCTGTCGAACTAGAAAATGTGCTGAAAACTATTCAAGGAGACCGAAGAATGAAAAAATGTGTAAAACATAGAGTGCTCAAGTAAATTAACTTTACTCTGACTGCTACAGGAAAGATCTACTTTGAACACAAGTGCTATAGTACACAACTATTGTAGCTACTGACAATGATAAATTCATTCAATTCAAATATGTCCTTACTTTCCCGCTGCTAGTGTTGCAACTGAAAAGTATTTTCAATATGGGTGATTTGCACTCACACTGAGACACTGCCTGTGCTTCCTTTGTCTGACTACTCCAAAAGCACACAGTTAATTACAAGCAGAACCCTGATGCAATATCCAAGTTTAATTAAAATACAGGAAAGAATTTACAATGCTGTAAGAGCATGTTATGCAGCAATTGCTAAAAGGGTTGTTTCTAGTATCCATAAACTATGTCACGGATAGCTATATTGCATTTTTGTCTTCCTATCTCTTCAGGCTTGTTTTATATGTCTCTGGACCTCAGCAGCACACAGTGATGCAATGTCTCAACAACAGCAGACAGAGGAGTCAACCGTGGTCATAAATCATGGCTCTGAGGTGATATTTTCCACATACCTGTGTGCTCATACTTGTGCCTCAGCAGAGAGCTGCTCTTCTGGAATATTTTATCACACAAGTCACAGGCGTACATTCCATTTTCTGTTTTCCTCATCTTCTTCCGTGGAGGAGTGGAGTCGGAGTCGTTTTGGTCTTCCACAGTGGAGATGCCCTCAGAACTAGTGTCTTCCTGTGAGAGAATGAGAGAGGGGTGACATTTAAAGGACTCGGGTCAAACAGGAAAAAAAATAATCTCGTCTTATTTCAGGATATCTACTTCTTTCATTACAAGGCTAATAATATATCAGATGTGAAAAACAATAATGAAATGAAAAGCAAGAAGGTGATGAAGTTACAGAATATATATATATATGCAGACACATATAGTTGCATTCTCAGTAACATATAAAAAACAAAGGGCAAGCCTTCACAATACTGCCACTTTTCACCAAAAGTGGCACAAAATACACAAAACAATGCTATGATTTAAAGGTGTGCAGTCTTAAAATAGGTAAATTTCATTTTTTAAATCTCACAAAATTGACAGAAAACTAACTGCTCTTTCTATAAGCAGACTTAAGAGACAGCACATGATATATTTCCCCAGCCAGTAAATAACATGTGACTGACTAGTTAAATGTCAGGATAAATATACCAGGATGTCACCTTTATCAGGCCTACAGCAAATGCCTTCTAATAGTATGTACACATTTCATACTGTAATTAAAGGGTGAAGCTGGGGACAAAATGGAGACAGGGAGGTCATAAAACGTAGTTGGGAAACTACAGGTTTCAGGAAAACTTCTTAAGTTGTTATTTTTTCAGCTTTTCTTTAGTTGTTTGCTACTGAAGAGTAGCAAAACCCCCGTATTCAGGTACCGGCAGGTACATTTTTTGAGCTCCCAAACTACAGAACACAGAAGATGGGGACAGAGAAATGGAGGATACAATAGTAATTTGTATCGAAACATACACAAGCCTGAAAGCTGCTTTCTTTAAAGAGCAAAACCAAGCTGTAGGTTCATACATCAGCTCTTTCACCACATTTTTGCGTGAAAATACAACTAGATCTAAAAATGTCAAATTAAGTAAGAGTGAAACTTTTTCATTTTCTGTCACCATTATGAGAAACTGCTCAAGAACATCCTCGTGATGCGTAAAACAAAAGAAAAATGATAGCACTAGGAAGAGTGAATTGAGGTCTCTACAGAACTAAAACAGAAAAGAAAACTAACAGCACATAAAAGGACACGAAGAATGGAAGACACGTAATACTCTGAGTGTGTTAGCTTTAAGTTAGTCAGCTCAAAAGCTTGTGAGCCAAAGGATTTTAGTCTAGATGCAGTACCGGAAGGAGGCATAAGTGAATTTTTAGAGTATAATTCAAAAAGTACAAGTAACAGATGTAGCCAATGGAAATGTGATTGATAAATGCCTGCTAGGTGCTCTTGGTCTTAATGGTGGTTTCTAAAATGAGACGTTGCTGCCTTGGATTTGTTATTATTGTCTTCATTCAGATAGTGGAACAGCCAGATGAAGCAGGGACTTAACAATTACACCTACTGTACTGCACTATGTCTATGCCAGCACCATAAAAATAAGTGTAACATTTATTTCAAATGTGTCAGTAAAGACTAGCTAAACTAGTCTGCCTAAACAGAGTTCTCTCGTATTACTGTTTTATGTTACCACAAAAGCAGACCAGGTTTCTTAACAATGAAAAAAAACACAGACAAGGCCAAACTGGTCTTTAGTGTGGTAAATTTATAGAGTGTACCAAGGCCAATGATATAAAGTCAAGATCATAGTGCAGAACTTATTTTACATAAGATCCATAAATAAAGTTAAAAGGCTACAAAACTGACCAAAGAAAAACAAACTGAATTTGTATCTACAGCACACATCTGTTCAAGCGTACTGGGCAGATTTTTTCAGTGGACCATTTCATGTGGTTGCTAACTCACAGGCATGAGTAAAAATCCCTTGTCATGCATGGTTTATAAACAGATTTCAACAGTCAAGTGGAAATCTGGGATGTGGAAACGTCTTGTGTCTTTGAATGAACTGGAAAACCACAAATGCTTGTTAACACACCTTTGCCATTAGGGGGCAAACAAACAGTAATGAAGAACACAACGCAGAAAAATATTTACCTTTTTTGTTTTGCAGGGCTAAAAATAAAGAAAAGGGAAATTAAAAACAGAGGGGAAAATTCAAATGTTAAGCACATTTCAGTTAGTTGAAATGCTAAAGAGCAAAAAAGCTCATCCAAAACAATCACAGCAAGAAAACCACTGACTACCTCTGACCGGTTCAAAAACTGAACTTGTTTTATATAGTGCAGCTATCATCCACTTGTTGATGCACAAAGCAAAACTTGATTTCCATAAGAGTCAGGGATTAGGAATGGCATCTTTAACAAGGAAAACAGCAGAGAGAACTGTGGAGAGAGCACCATATTCAAGCCCTATGGCTCCTGCTGTCTAAACTGTGTGCATAACGTGGCATTTACATTCCTGCTGATTTGGAATCCCAGTAACTTCCCGACATTCTATAATGGAGAGAATGCCTGGAGATGCCCTGATAATATGTACACTATTCCTGGCAGTGGCCTGCCCCTTCTGCTCTCTCAAGCACTGCCTGAGAGGAACACCAGAGCACTGAAATGCCTCTGAAGAACCAGGATACACCCAGCTCTTTTATGGGCGAGACCGCTCCACTCCTTCTTACAAACAAGCATAAAATCACCCTAGACCTCAGCCAGCGCTGAGACCTGCCAGTGCTTCTGGCCCATGTGGTGTTTCCACCTTCACTCTTGTTTCCAAAGTGAACAGCTTAGTGTAACAGTCCAAAGACTAAAATAAAAGAAGAATTATGAGATATCACAAAGCTTCCAGGGACTGTCCTTCTCCACCCTCTACTTAAGATGAAATATGGAAACTTTTCAAAACTGGGCTAGATAGGTGGAACTTTGCTTCTCTGCAATAGCTGACCTTAGAGGAAAGTTTCCAAGACATCTGGAATCGCAGCAGTGATTTTCTATGAAAGAGTCCCAAGGGCTCAGTGATGCATCTACAGTTTAAATTTAGTGTTAAGAAGCAACACCCTGTTACACCACACAACTTAATTGAAGGCCGCTAGAATACACTTGAAACAGGAACTTAAATGTTTTTAATGTATTTATTCCCTTGAATCTTCTCACCTCTCCTGCTATGGACAGAGTGTTGCACTGTCAGAAGGAACTAAGTTCATTTTTCTGATTTATGGAGGAGAAGTTCTGTTTATCACATTTTGCTGTTACTACGTTTTCATATTTGATTTGCAGGGTTAGGAAGGCAATAAAACCTTTTTTTACATTCAAACAAAATTCAAATAAAACTTGAATTTTCAATTCCTACAATTATCTTTCAATTACACTTGTAGCAGACGTTTGACTGGTTAGCGTATTAGAAACATGTTGATAAGCAGTACTTCTGTACACAGCAGCAAATACTTAGTTGCTAATTTTTAAACATCGAATTTAAGATTTTAATTCTGTTTTACATGTTTGCCTTATACTGTATATATAACATCATCATCCAGATTTGTCGTATAACCTAAAGACATGTAGCATATATCCTTTTCAAGTGTGTTTATCAGGAAATAATGAACTCTAACAAAGGAGGACTAAGCCTGGTTTTGAAAGACAAAAAAGAGAATTATTCTTTATTGTGCAATTTAACACAATTCAATTTCGTCACCCTGCAGATGCACTTTTGCAATGTTTCTCTTTCTCTTCCCCAATCTTGTGACACAAGGAAGGAGCACGTGGTGACTCAGTCAGCTCAAACTTTATGCCTGAGGTCAATTGTTTTTCATTAGGGGCAGCAAATGCACATTTTCAATTTTCAAGTAAGACAGGTTCTTCTGTTTTCTGTCAGAATACTACTGACTCGCAGTTACAATACTAGAGTGATAAGTGGTAGAGAAAACACAACCCAAATCCCACAAAGCCAACTCTAAATGTTACTAGATATGAAACCAAGAGGACAAAAGTGATTTTTTTTTTTATCTTGAATAGAAAGTTCTAAGAAACATGCTTTACTCAGACCCAAAGCAGCTATTCTCAAACAAGGAATTAGTATTATTTTTTTACAAACCTGGTTTCCATTTGTTTGTATTGTTTTCAGCTGGGTTTCAGTTCCTGCGGGGCTGGTTCCTGAAGTGGTGTATGTGTACGCAACCTGGGGGATCAAGATAGTCTGTTTGTTGGTTGCTAGTGCCCGAATACAAGGGACACTGCTCTGGTCGGTAATGGCAACAATCGTAGGTAACTGAGTGGTGACTGTGGGAATAGCGATGTTGATAGGATTGGCACTTTGTGGGGTAACATAAATAGGATTTAGGCTTGCGCTAATAGTGTCACTTTGTAGCTGTTCCTTCTTTGTGCAAGTCAAGTTCAAAGGTTCTTCCTGAATGGAGAAAACACTGTTCTGGTAAACACTGGAACTGGTGGCTCTTTCCATTTCTTCTCTGGGTAGCTTTGGTAGTGAAAGGTCGAGGGGTTCTGCTTGCACCTCTTCCTCAGAGTTGTCCTCAGTCTTCACAATAACAGGCCTGGATGAAGACAAATTTAGTGGTGAGGGGGAAGGGGTGTTGCTTCCAGATCCATTTATACTCCTGCTGGAGGGCGGCAGGGAAACAGCCTGGGACTTAGTCAACGTATCTGGGTTGTCCTCGGTCGTTGTGCTGTCCGGTGCTTTTCCTGTGGAGGGTGAAGCCGCTTCGGTCTGATCAGATTCAGGCGGGGGTGTCTCTTGTCCTGAGGAAGAGCTCGAAGCCCCCATCGAAATCTGTCCGGTCTGCATCTTCTCAAACCACTTCTTGACCACGTCTAGGGGCAGGTTTACGGAATCAGAAATTTTGGAGAGCTCCTCCTTGGTTGGCTCGGCATTTAAGGCATAATATGCCTTGAGGAGTGACAAGAGGTTCTTTAGGGGTGGCTGGCCAGGAGACAGACTTCCATCCAAAGGAAGAGACGAACCAGATTTTTCTGGATCTGTCCCATTGACATGGGAAGCCTGACTCCCACCTTCTCTTTTCAAATTACAGTGTTTAAGCTCTTGAAGTGCATTTAAACCACCTGGGCAGTCATCACAAAGAAGACAAGTGCTGGTACTCTTTTCAGTCTCAGGGCTTTTGCTTTTCTCGGTTTTGACGGTGAGGTCTTCGGGGAGTTTCTCAGTTTTGCAGACCTCGGTGTTGCTCGAGTTTTCCTTCTTCAAGCTTTGAGGTGCGACTTGAACTTGGCTGGGTTGCTCCAGGCTGTAGTTGATAATGATTTTGGTCGTTCCATCCTGATCGACGAGGGGAAGACTGATGGCAGAGATGAGGGAATGGCCTCCCGGCTGCATTGAGCCAATTGTTCCTTGTTCTTTGGATGTGGCATTGATGTGAGCATTCTCCAGGACTTGGCGGATAACATTCCCGTCCACTGCTACTTTGAGAACATTCTGAATGTCACTTAGGTTGATGCTAATAGGAGACACGAGACCAACTGTTGGCAACACCACAGCCTGCACCACACCCTGAGATGAAGCCGTGGCCTGCAAAGGAGAGCCTCCATTGAACACCCCATTTTGCAAAGGTGTGGCACAGTTGATTCCCGGGGTTACCACGATAGGTTTGTACTCATAATCCACAGGTTCGGTTTTGATTTGGTTGATGGGAAGCTGCTCTTGTAAGGGTTTGCCGTTGTCAATCTTTTCCCGGAGCTGGGTCCGGGCGGGTGCGGTGGGCGACGATGACAGAGACGGAGACTCGCACTGGGAAGGCTTGACGCCTGGTCGAGGTCGTCCATTCACAGGCATCAGACCGATACATTTCTTGCTACTGATGTGGGAGCTGTACGACCCAGAGTGAGAAAAACGCTTTTTGCAGTTTGGGCATTCATATGGCTTCTCTCCTGCAAAGCGAAAGAGATTCAAAATGAAAAGAGGGAAACCTGCTGCTAGGCTTCCACGTGTACCAACGACTCATGAAAGGCTCATTTGATGTGAGCACTGGGAAATGTTTTTGAATTGCTGTACATATTGCCAATTACCATGTGGGTCACAAAATGTAGGTGTAGGTGGCAACAGGTTTTGGGACACTGTTAACTATGTTTGCAAAGAATGGCCAGTGTCATTGTAAGGGTTGGTGTGTTTATCTTTCTTTGTTCTTTAAGTGTCCCCGTCTTAAAGAATCGACAAAGATTGACCGACACACATTCCTATAGATGTGCGTTAATTACCATACAGTTCAGAGGTGACATGTGGAATGGTAGTACAGGTATTGCTTGAGACTGGGGTGTGGGAGTGGCATGAGAAGTAGGGACAATGCATTATTACACCTGGCAATCGACATGCAGGGGAATAAAGAGGGGTCATTATGTGAAACGAATGTATTGTGCTGGGCTGTGGGAGCACAGGTGGATCTGAGATATATAAATAACCTATTTCAGGGGAAAACAGTCTTAGCACCCTTAAAATTACTAGGTGACTTAGTACAAGCTAAAGGCTTATTGGGGTCACTATATCTATACCAATAACAAAATCAGAGTACTATATTGATAAGGACAATTTGTACATTAGAGTACAACTTGCACACTAGAAAATGAACACACTGAAAAGATTATTCATGTCTTGTCATGAAAACAAAACTTTTAGCTTGATTGTTCCTGCCAAAATGGCACATGTTTTCTTTAATCCTATGCAGCGTAAATTGACTCATTCAAAATGAGTCAGTTAAAACGTTTTCGCAACGAAAAAAAAATAGACGCAATTGAGAGGAGCTTGGGGGCGAGAGAGTTTTGATGAAGCGAGGTGCAGAAAAAACAGGCTTTGCGCTTACCACTGTGGATACGCAAGTGCTCCTTGAGGTGGTGCTTGTATTTAAACGCTTTTCCACATTCAGTGCACTTGAATTTCCGATTTCCCCCAGACTGCGTGACGTGACGCTGGAAGGTTACAAAGAAAAACACCCCAACATAAGTTTGACGTGAATTTGTCTCTAAGTGACTGTTTAGAAAATGAAAATTATCTGCAATCACTTGTGTCTAGCTGAATGCCAATTGAATGAACTGCTTTAAGCACTTCCAGACCATGTTCTGGGATTAGTTAGCGACATTTCAGCTCCTACCTGATCTCGCCCAGATTTGTGTGCCGTCATGTGGCGCTCTAGCTGTGTTCGGTAGGCGAATGTGTAACTGCAAACGGAGCAGCTGAAGTTGTCCTCGTTCTTCTCGTGTCGATACTTGATGTGTTCTTTCAAAGATGTGTAGCGTTTGTATCCTCTGTCGCAGTACGGACAAGCGAGAAGCTGAGAGAAAGCGTCGGGTGTCCCTGTGAAGAAGACGACAGATAAACCACAGTTACTGTAAAAGACAGATTGGCCTGTTAGAGCTACCTTTTGTCTAAACACAAATATCACTAGAGCAGTGCATTCTTAAGGAAGGACTGACATGAGTATTCAAGGTAGGGTGTCTATGATCATAAAATTAGAACAATAATGTACCTTGTGGTGACAGACCTTGAATAATTGAAAAGAATTTGCAAAGAGATTAAATTAAACTTTAAAATGATATTCATTATGGCAGGGAAATTGGCCTTTCTGAGTAAAATGGTATGTAATTGAAACTCGGGATGCTACCGTGTTGTACAGCATTTGCCTGAATCTGTATGGCAGACATGTCAAACTCTGAAAGACTGTATGTGACACATTCTGGATGTATGATGTTATGTGACATCAGTTTTTGTAATTTTCTCTAGTTTTCTCCCGTGACTGAAGGTTAAAAACACTCCCTGGGCTTAACTCAGAGGTATGCAGAGCATTCTTGTGATGCATCAAACTGACAACATACTTGATCAGAAGGTTTAACAGCTGAGAAACCTCTCTGCAGGATTCTGGCAAGAGTGTGGGTTCTTTACCCATATATACCCTGCATAGGACTCTTTACCTTGGATGGCCAGCAGCTATATCATTCTGCAACTCCCAACTGGCAACCCACTGAAGCTCAGCAGGTGTGAGCCTGGCCAGTACCTGGATGGGAGACCTCCTGGGAAAGGTTGTTGGTGTAAGTGGAATCAGTAGGGAGCGCTCATCCTGTGGTCTGTATGGGTCCTAATGCCCCATTATAGTGACGGGCGCCGTCCTTTGGATGAGAAGTAAAACTGACTCTCTGTGATCATTAAAAATCCCAGGGCATTTCTTGAAAAGAGTAGGGGTGTAACCCCAGCATCCTGGCCAAATTCCCCCCTGGCCTTTACCAATAATGGCCTCCTTATAATCCCCATCCATGAACTGGCTTCATCACATCTCCCCACTGATACCTGGTGTGTGATGAGTGTTTTGGTGCAGTCTGACTGCTATCACATCATCCAGGTGGGGCTGCACATTGGTGGTGGTGATGGGGTCTCCCTTACCTGTAAAGCACTTTGAGTGAAGTGTCCAGAAAAGCGCTATGCAAGTGTAAGGAATTATTATTAATTACCGTTTTCGTCGTGGCCGCTGGCCTCAGGTGTACCCTGTCTCTGCTCCTCCTCCGGTGCCTCAGGGTAGATGACAGCGGTGTCCCCCTGCTGCAGGATCTCCTCCACGATAGGGTCATTGTTCTGCTCATCCTCAGCATCTGAGCCACATTCATTCTTCACTGCAAAACCAAATCAGCACAGCCATGGGTAACGGTGGGTTGCTGCAAAACACTAATACACGTTTTAAGGCTTTTCTTTATAATCGATTTCTAAAAAAAAAGCCTTCAAGAAGACAAAGCAACACACTCATGCAGCACATGTAAGACCCTCTGTCTTCTTTGGCTTTATCATATCACAGAGTGAGTGGACTGCGAACCATTCTTAAGCAAATGCCATGGTTGACATAAATCCTCAGAGCCAGTTTTGTTTTGTGAAGATATATGCAATACCTGTGCAGACAATTCGTCAGTGCGAGTCAGAAAAAATGCTTTCGAACAATTCATTCAATACAATTAAAGTGAAAAAAAGGTTAAGAAAATACTATAGCTTGCCTTGAATAAGAAAAAAAAGTTGTATTAAGCTTCTCTAACACCATTCTTGGGATCTCCATATGAAAGCACAACAGGACTCTGAAACCTTTCTGAAATATTATGTCCATCTGCTTGCCTCCTGCCATTGTTTCTTGAGCTGAACAATCTGGAAGATTAGAACAGGCACCTGGTGACAGGGACAGCTGGAGAAGACTTCGGGTCACCCTAAGTGACCAGCCACCCCCTTAGAGAATGGTGACCAGATGATAACATCTATGAACATCACTGAATTTTAAACAATTTACTGCATCTAGAATACCTTACTTCTTTAAGTCTCACGTACATTAAACATCAAAGATATTGGCTTACTCTTTTTCAAATACAGTGGTGTGAAAAAGTGTTTACCCCCTTCCTGATTTCGTAGTCTTTTGACACTGAAATGTTTCAGATCATCAAACAAATTGAAATATTAGACAAAGATAACACAAGTGAACACAAAATGCAGTTTTTTAAATGAAGGTTTTTATTATTAAGGGAAAAAAAAATCCAAACCTACATGTCCCTGTGTGAAAAAGTGATTGCCACCCCTGTTAAAACATAAATCAACTGGTTTATCACATCTTTGGAAAGCTGAGTTCAATTTCTCTAGCCACACCCAGGCCTGATTACTGCCACACCTGTTCTCAATCAAGAAATCACTTAAATAGGACCTGCCTGACAAAGTGAAGTAGACCAAAAGATCCTCAAAAGCTAGACATCATGCTGCGATCCAAACAAATTCAGGAACAAATGAGAAACAGAGTAATTGAGATTTATCAGTCTGTAAAAGGTTATAAAGCCATTTCTAAAGCTTTGGGACTCCAGGGAACCACAGTGAGAGCCATTATGCACAAATGGAGAAAACATGGAACAGTGGCGAACCTTCCCAGGAGTGGCCAGCCGACCAAAATTACCCCAAGAGCGCAGCGACGACTCATCCAAGAGGTCACAAAAAAACCCACAACAATATCCAAAGAACTTGCCTCAGTTAAGGTCAGTGTTCATGACTCCACCATAAGAAATAAACTGGGCAAAAATGGCCTGCATGGCAGAGTTCCAAGACGAAAACCACTGCTGAGCAAAAAGAACATAAAGGCTTGTCTCAGTTTTGCCAGAGAACATCTTGATGATCCCCAAGACTTTTGGGAAAATACTCTATGGACCGATGAGACAAAAGGTGAACTTTTTGGAACGTGTGTGTCCCATTACATTTGGCGTAAAAGTAACACAGCATTTCAGAAAAGGAACATCATACCAACAGTAAAATATGGTGGTGGTAGTGTGATGGTCTGGGGCTGTTTTGCTGCTTCAGGACCTGGAAGACTTGCTGTGGTAAATGGAACCATGAATTCTGCTCTCTACCAAAAAATCCTGAAGGAGAATGTCCGGCCATCTGTTCGTGACCTCAAGCTGAAGCGCACTTGAGTTCTGCAGCAGGAGAATGATCCAAAACACACCAGCAAGTCCACCTCTGAATGGCTTAAGAAAAACAACATGAAGACTTTGGAGTGGCCTAGTCAAAGTCCTGACCTGAATTCAATTGAGATGTTGTGGCATGACCTTAAAAAATCGGTTAAGGCTCGAAAACCCTCCAATGTGGCTGAATTACAACAATTCTGCAAAGATGAGTGGGCCAAAATTTCTCCACAGTGCTGTAAAAGACTCATTGCCAGTTATCGCAAACTGCATTTTGTGTTTACTTGTGTTATCTTTGTCTAATATTTCAATTTGTTTGATGATCTGAAACATTTCAGTGTGACAAACATGCAAAAAAATAAGAAATCAGGAAGGGGGCAAACACTTTTTCACACCACTGTATGTTAGAACAAAGTGATATATCATGCACCTTCATAGGTGGAAATGACAGCTGTTGCACTAAAATAACACACAAAAAAACTTTGCTTTTAGAATAAAGATAATCTTGTTCCACAAAAAACAATTTTATAGTCTCATTAAGAGTGCATTCTCAAGTATTAATAACATCAGCTATCACTATTGAAGATTTCAAGGAATAAATACTAATTTTTAGTGGCACCCACAAAAAAGAATTACCTCAGCATGGGCAACCTGAATTCATTCTACGCTAATCTCGGCTTGTGGTCCATGTAACTGCTCATTCTGGAAATTACAGCAGAATGACATTTTGTCAAACTGAACAGTAGATAACAGAAGAGCAATTCTGTATAAGGAATTGTAATGCATTTGCGCAAAACATGCACACACTTTTACTAGAATTGATCTAGAAAGAAAGTGCTGGAGATAGCACAGGCACAACCAATTAGTTATGTAAAGCAAACTAAGCATTCATCCCTAATGATTCCTTATATAATATGCACACAAAACAACTAAAAGTGCTGTGCATTTTCTGTCATTATTAATACTTGGGACTTCCAAGCATTTAGTGCAGTTCTCGGAGTTCCTTATAAAGCATAATCAGCTTAATTATAAGATATACCACTCAAACGGGTATTCGGAAAATATGGGGTGTTCCTTTTTAATTTGAAGTTCTGCCACTTAAAGCACAAAGAGTACTTTCATTCTGGCTTTACAATTACGGAGAACTCCAATGGTGGAATGAAGCCACTCCTCAAGACTCAAAGCCTCCTCTTTACACTTTCCCAAGCAGTGTCAACAGTCAGAAGAGGTTGAGCACTGCTCTATAATTCATCTGGATCTGAGCTGCCCACTACTGTACATGAGCCAAGCCTCAGGGGACAATGACATTGTAGCAGGGCCAGCCTGTGACAGACATAGAGGCCCACTACATCAGACACTGAGCCCGGCCTCAGGGGACAATAACATTGTAGTGAGGGCTAGCCTGTGACACAGCTGCATGCATCACGGCATGGAGGCAGATAGTCTTCTATTTTACAGCAATTGGCCTGTTCATGTAGCACAAAACATCTTCTACTGTTCCAGGTTGATAGAATAAAACATCACAAAGGTGATGGAAAAAAATTTTGGGGATACTCTTAAATCTTCATAAAATTCTACCAAGAATGGAAAACTACTTTAAACAATTGTCTTATGCAAACGGCAATCGATGATTTCAGGGAGAAGAGAATGGGCGTTTTAGTTGCTTCTTTCATCTAACTATTCCTCATAACACAATTAACATTCCTCTTTGGGTCAAAAGACTGCAGATGGCTGCCAGAACCTGGGCTTGCTGGGACTAAAGGGACTAGAGAGATAGGTGAGACTCTTCAAAAAGATAGCTGATGAGCTACTGTAGGTAACCTGCTTCTGTGTCTTTTAAAGAGGGTCGATGCACAACAACAGTAACACAGCACAACTGAAAGCAAGGTAGTACTGTAGTACTGTACTGAAACAGTTACCTCCAAATTAGTTGCACAAAATACAAAGTACACAAATGATCATTCAGACCACACAATGTTGGCGTTTATTCAATCAAAACAAAACGTACTCTGTACTGAGAGGGATTAGAAATAAGATCAATTAGCTTTAGAACCAGCAGTATTTGCTATATTTTTAACGCCTCTCAGAACAAAAATACTAAAGGGCTCAGGGGACAGTACTGAGTCCTGCGAAATACCAGACATAACCAACCCAACCTCAGAACTAAAACCACTAAGAGACACAAAATGTCATCACTCAGCAAGGTAAGATTAAACCATTTAAGGGTTGTACCAGAGAAGCCAAAATGTTTCTAAACAGGAAGCCATGATTTACAGTATCTCATGTACATGTAGGACTATAATTTAAGATAATTATGATATATAATGCACCTGTATCAACTGTCATGAGGAAATCATTAATAAAATACATTCTAAAGTGCTCAAAATAATTTAAAATAGCTCTAAAACGTATTTATACTGACAGTAGTTGCACTGCAACAGCACATTCTAATGTTTTCTCAAGAAAATACAAGGTTGATATGGGCCAGATTATCTAAAGCCATATCAGGTTTTAAGTCAGTAATGACTGTAGTAATTTTTTAAAGCTAATGGCACCGTTCCAAAGCTCAGGGAGTCATTCATAATGTGGAGCACCAAGAGGCAAAGGGCAGAAACTCAGGAATGGGATCCAAAAAATAGCAGGAGGGTTTTCCTCAAACGCAGTTAGACAGGAGTCTCCGATTGTGATCCTAGAGTGTACTCAACAAAGCACTCCTTAAGATAAGTGAAGATGTACAATCCAGTCAGTTGTAGAGGTCATCTGTTTGTAAAGATTGGGAAACCTATAAACTACTGATGAATTAAGAATGTAATCTGTTGAAGAGAATATGATTTTAGGCCTAAACAATTTCTTAATTTAAGAAACCTCCTGTTTAATTGAGGTGATAAGATACCTCATCAAAAATATTATGATGGTGACCTAAAATTCCACGCCTGTTGGACTGGTTCTGTCCAGGACCTGATGGAGATCCCTGCAGTAAGACACACCGAGAGGCACAGCAAGTTTGAAAAGTGAGACAGAGAAAAGCACACAAAGAGGCAGTGCATTAGAAGTATGCGAGGAGTTGAGAGTGTGGTGTTTTCACAGGTTTCATTGTAAAAATATCTATAAAAGTACTGCACAAACAATGTGAAGCAGGTATCAGTTTACAGGAGATCAACTTTAGAAGCTGCTTAATGTTGGGCAAAATGTAT